CCGGATTGGAACAATTTGTAGCAAGGTGCGCTGGCTTGTATGCGTCTCCGTCTGCGTCATTGCCATTACGTCACGGGCGTCTGTCGTCGCCGTCGGTCTTGTTTGTGCGGGATGAGGAGATTGCGCCGACGGTATGTGGAGAAGGCGATGGTGTCTCCCCTTGCAGCCCCGCTCTCCACAGACTGTTCTGCTCGAACATTTGCTCAGCCAGTGGCCAGTACTGAGACATCGGAAACAGCGGCGGCCACTGCGCACGATGTGACCGCGCTCCTCCGGTGTTTTCTCCAGAAAAGATGGGCATTCGGCGAGTGCGTGGGCGCCACTTTGGCACACAGCACAGTCAGCACTGACAGCCGCTCCAGAAGCAGTCGCAAAAGTTGTGCGCTGAGCTGAACTTTTATTCCCTCTTGTGTCGCCCCGGCGCCTGTTCAGCGGTGCCGGTGTATGCGCTGATCTGGCGACACTGTCCTGTACCCTTGAGCAGAGCACAGGCTGAACGCGGCGGCCCGCCAGCACTACTTTCCCAAGCCAAGAATCAATGTCTTCCAGAGTGGGTACGTGTGGCATCATTTCCACTTCTAGCTGGCCCCACTGCCAGGCCAGCGTGCTTGGTAGCTTGGCTATCACCTGCTGCATTGAAGAGGTCGCGGCTAAATCCGCTTGGTAGCCCATGCTCTTTAGTACGCACACGGCCGTGTGCAGGGCTCGCGACAGACTTGTCAGGCTAGCGATATCGTTGTGCTTCACTACCGGGTGCTGAAGAATGCTGCTGAGTGTGCTCTGGACGACAGCAGTCGGGTTTCCAAATTGAGTCTCCAGCTCGCTCAGCGCCACTTCATAGAGCGACATGTCACAGAGCAGACCACGCACGGCTTCACGAGCGTCTCCCGTCAGGAACGACTGGAGGTGAATCATGCGCTCTGTGTCAGTCAGCGACGCATTATCATGAACCAGGGCTCGAAAGAGCGAGATCCACCGGGGCCACTCTAACGGAGACCCATCAAACATCCCAAGCTGTATCTTGGGCAGCGAGGCATGAACAGGAGCGAAGTTTGTGTTGGCTTCAACCCATCGTCTTGTGCGATGGCTTCGATCGGGCGATCTGTCTGCCGGGTTGTTCTCTTGATTGGGTGGACGAGTCGGGTTACTCCCTCCCGCATTTCCAGACTGCGCTCCGGCAATACTTTGACACGCTGCAGCTGGCGTGTCACCAAGCAGTTGACACTGGACCCGCTGATCAGACTGCTCGTTCTGAGCGCGAGCCATCGGGGTCGGCGGCACAGGGCTCACCTTGTCAACAGCGCGGTCCATGGGCGGCGGCTGGTGGTGCATGGATACCGGTCGCATTCCATCTTCATCTGCAGTGCCGACCGAATTTCGCAATCCAACCTCTTCTTCCATTATTTGAAGTTCCAGCGCGTCTACCTCCGCTTGGTCAGCTGCCTGTCGTGCTTCAGCTAAAGCTTCATCTCTTGCTAGCCTCGCACGAACCTCAGCTGCCTTAATCTTCTCGTCTGCCACTCGCTTCGCCTGTTCGGCTTTGAGCTGTGATACGAGCGCTCGCCTTCTTACCGAACTGCGAGTGGTGGACGTAGAGCTCATTTCAGCCTCACTTCGGGTTTTGAGACTTGCAGATGCAGACCTATCACCGCAAGCCGATCGTACACTCATAGTTACGTTACCTATCGAATCGCAGTCAATCAATTCCTTAACTGGTTACAGTTATTTTACGGTACTCGATCCGGCCCGGAGGACCATAATGTTACGTCAATAACATTTTAACGATTGTTCTTGCCGGGTATCGTAAAAGGGACCAGTTACTTTAAATGACTGTATTCGAAATTCGTAAAACTATTAGCCAAGTGTCGATACAAATTCACCTCTTTTTCACATCATCCATCATTCACCCAGACTGTTCTACATTTTTCATAATTTTCCATCATTGTTAGATTTCATGTGAAATCTGCACGGATCCTCCTCATAAGGATAATTAATTGGCACTTTCAGAAATAACAGCCATGGCCATTTTCGTCGTATGTGGGACACTGCGCGGGCGGCCAGGTTTTGCCTACTTTGCCTGTACTGGTATACTGTGCCGCTCGACACTCGTGTCCTGCGGTACAGTATACCGCGCAGGCGTTTCTCGCACCGCGCGCCAGCGCTACACTACCTGACTGCATAGACTGTACCGCACTACAGCTATATGTGAGACGGCCGCGCCTGGCCCGTGCTGCTGCGGTCAGATATGCTGTCTAATTGCAGAGTTTCCGTTGCTGGCCTGCAGGCGGATTTATGCACAGGAAGGACGGTGCGTGTTCCAACCACCGCAGCTGGTGTGGGCTATTCACACCAGCAACTATGTTGACCGGGCTCATGAAATATGATTAACTGCCGCTTATCGTGAGTGCTGCGAACATATTGCGGATGTGGCCGAGCTAATGTATTGTCAGAGCCTCAGTGGGTATGTTAATTGTGCGTTATAGTTTCAGCTATGTTTTGATTGCACTAGTTTCTATCTTTGTTTTTATCTATCCACGTACGGTAGTGCTGTTTTTTCTTTATGCATTTGTATGGATATCTCTACATTTACAAAGGATGGAGTTTTCGGCGAAATGCACCCCACGTCCCCACCTCACCATCCTGGAAGCGGAAAGTATGTTCACCATCGGTCATATTTACGTTCCTGTCATGTGTCGCATTTGCTTCGCCCGTCCTAGTTGGATTTGTGCGGCCTGATCCATATCGGTGTACTGTATTTCCATCCAATATACATACATGTGAAACTTACTCCCCCGCACTGCATAAGCGCAATGACTTAATCAAATCACTGCTGCTCACTTACGATCTGATTACCGAAATGGACCGGGCAAACGAGATAAAAGCAGTCCTGCCCCATCATTCGTCACAGACCTGATGGCATTAGCGCTCGCGAGGGTGCCTGCTGCGGTAAAGATATCGTCTCTTCTCCGGTGAGGGACCGAACGCCCTACTTAGTACTTACCGTGCAATTGCATTTTGGGCAATCGTGTCCCAAACTGGACTGGATACATTTTACTATTTGTTAAGTTTTGCCCCCTGTAACTATCGTCTTTTTATCACCTGTTTGTTGCTTGAAACGATCGTCCGAATTCCCCCGTATGGCCGCCAATAGTACCGCATGTTCCCCTAAGTTTTGTTAATATCCTTTCGTTAAGAACAATTATTTGTATCAATGTGTGAAGCCATACCAGGCTGATCGACAGCGCGTCTATTCGATCAGCCAGCGTTAGTAATTTGGCCTCAAGTTTTGACGCTAATTGGTCCGATGGTGGTAAGCGACGATCTCTTATATCAGAGTCTATATATAATATATATCAGAGTCAAAGACCGCCCAAACCCTTAGTTTACCGCTTTGCTGGAAGCTTTATTCCAACGTAAAAGCGAAAGAGCTTTTGCCAGCTGGCATTTAGAGAATATTGGCTCGACATAATTCTTATAAGTGCGACATGTCTGAACAGTATTCAGGTCGCAAAAGACAGTCGGCGAAAAGCAGGAACCATAAAACGCAATTGCTTGAACATGTGAAATCATTTCCAAGATTTAAGGCGTAAGTTTAATGTTTGGTCATGGGTACCTGTCTCACTAGCCTTTTGTAGCTAATAAAAACCCATTTGAATCGAGAACAAAATAGGTCACTCATTGCAAATTCTAAAAACACTGCTTAGAGCTTTGTCCCTTGTCTTTCGGTTACGTATTGCAATTTATTTTATATTTTATACGAATGCTTTGCAGGCTCCTCGTCCCTAGATGTGCGCATATGCAAGATGCATATTGCATATGCATCCTTTCATTTTGTGATACCCTGAAGTGGTCCACTATCTCACCACATGCTGCCCCAATTTATCTGGACATTAATTTCCCATGTCAAATCTGGAGCCGGCTCTGTCACGTTAGCCCACTAACAAAGCCGTAAAGATGGTAACGAGCGCGGCGCCGCTGGGAGTGGTCCGCGCCGTGATTTGGCCGGTCGGCAGGGGCGGCCAACAGTAGCCGAGTGATTACACCACCCCGTGCCAGGCGCCACGCTCCGCGGACCGGCGGCGCGCCGCGCGCTCCGCCCGGCCGCCGCCCTCCACGTTATATGGCTAGTTACTCAGGCTTTAGTAGTTGATGGAAGTCGCTGTTACTCTGCCATATTGCCGCCGGAACAGAGTTACGATATCGACCGCGTGTGGATGGCAGCGGCAGCTCTAACGCCCAACTGCCGGACCGTTGAGACGCAGCTCTAACGAGCGATACAGCGCAGCACTATCTGCCGCTATTTGGACCATGCATTTAGCGCGAGTGCCCCGGATGTGTACTTCTTGTATCATGCATATTGGGCCGATGCATTTCCCGTGTCTGGGGCTGCCTTCTGGCTAATGCATGCGGCGGCGGCGGGCGGCGCAGCTGTTTCCTATTGTACCGGACTCGGAGCCAGAGTTTGCCGACGGCTGTGCTGGCGGGGATGCGCCATTGTCATCCCGCCCCGCTACCGCCCCCGCCGCCTCCCCATCCTCGCCTTGTGTGCCGTCCCGGGCCGGTATTGTTCGGAATGACGACCGAAAGCCCACCGCGTCAGATGGTAACTGTTTCCCCTGCTGCCCTTTCTGTTACCTGATCCCCGCGCAGCCCCTGCACCGCGCCACAGTCCCTCTTTAATCACACCGTCTTTATCCCGCTCCCCCTCTAATGTTTATCTGCTCATTTGGAGAGGAAGCCTGGGCTTGGGCATACACTAGGCTACATTTAGTCCAGTGCAGTGAGCAGGCTTATATCCTAGCACTCTGTCAACCTTTTCCAACTTGCTGCGCGCTGTTTAATTTATTGAGCAGATCTAATCGGGTCGCATAGTTTCCGTATCGGTTTCTGCGAATAGCTGGATGCTCTCGCTAATCCCCGGCGGATTCGGGCGCTGACAGGAGCGTAACCCCTGACCTCTGACCTATGACCTCTGACCTTTCCCTGTCTGTGTGCGGCAGTGACGCTCCGATGATGGACGGAAGGGGCAGTCAGCGATCCAACTCGTCACCCGGCGGCAGAGGCGTGCACCGCAACAGGAGCAACGAATGGCGCCAGCGGCAGTACGACAGCTCCTCGGATAACGATGAACTCGGTGAGTGCGGTGTGGGTGGGTGTGATGATATGCACTCACTCAACCTTGTATGGTGTGGTATTGTGGAATAATGATCCACACACTTCTCTTTATCCAAGAAAGATGAAGAAAGGGAAGACAAAATACCTATTTATTCATCGGTGAAAGATGTTATAGGCTCGCTATCACATAGGTAGCTCTATCGAAATGTTGACTGTGTTGATACCATTTCGCGTGGCATCTTTATCTGTATGCCAAAAGCGAGCTTGGAAGCCAATTTACACGCGAAATGTACCATTTGGATCGGCTTTGGTTCGATCCGACTGCTGGCGAGCTCTATTTGAAATGGCCGACACGTGGCGAATCCAAGGACGCTGTTCGAAATTCGGCGAATCTGTAAAAGTGAGGCTTTAGCCGGACTGGGCTGTAAATGACAATATATGCTGCAATATGATGTGGCAGTAGTGTGATATGACAATCATTCCGCTCTGTACAGCGCTGCATGGTATGTGTCCGTGCTCGTAAACCTCTGGCAGCTCTTGGCCAAGTAGATCGTGAAAATGACACACCGCCACCAATAAGGTTCACCGGTCTTTTGATGTCTTCTTCATACGATTGGGAAAATGGCTAGCACACGGAATCAGTAAAATTGCATTCGTTGGAGTATTGAACCTTGGCAGAAAGTTGTTTTCAATTACTTATTATACGCCAGCGACTTATTTCTTCAGTCTAGATCCTATATAAATTGTTTGTTTCTTTACGTACTGACGGCTTAAAGGGACAGTATCACCATTTTGATGAAATTTGACATTGCATATAGGCCCCACCTTTCTGGTCCGGGAACTGAAGACCGATCCTCGAAGCTCCACGCCGTTATCCCGCTATCGCCGCTCAAAGTACGAAAGGTGTACTACACTTTGAATCGTGCTTCACTATCTTCACTGTTTAGATGTTTGCGCCGTTTTGAATTGACCGCCAGTAATAAAACTTTTACCCTGGTCATTTCATCAAATTTTATAAAGCCAAAACGTTTTTCGCACTTATTCATCACCGTTGAATTCATTAAATAGTCGTAGGCAATTTCCGCTGTTTCCTTCGGATTCTAGCGGCTCAACAAAGGAATTCCTTCAGCTTGAAGGAATTCCTTCAGCTTATCACGTGATATCTTCTGGGCAATACCATGGATTACCTACTACCTGGATCGGCAACTCCGCGGAATTCCCATTGTATTGCGCGACCGCCCGAAAGTGCTGCCACCTATCGAGCAGACTGATCCCTGCTAAGGACAGCCCGCCGCCGCCGCCCAGTCAGACAGCGGCCGATACCAGCAAAGTCCGAAAATGACGGGCAAGTTACATGGCCTGAACCAGCCCCGGCTAAGTTTGGCATAGGCCAACAGTGTCGGGTTCCGGAAGAGCGGTCCAGGGCGGTTCCGTAGACTATGTATCGTTTTGGAAAGAATGGTGTGGTGGGTCGTTTACCGAGCGCGACTGGCCGATTTTACCTCAGCACGTCGTATTGTTAGCTCTCATGGCCAGGCCAGGCGCCTTCTGCCAGCTGCCTGAAAATACCTTCGATCAAACGACTTTGTCTATCACTCGGGTTGCCCCTGATCAGCTTGAGCAATGAGCAATGAGCATTCCGACTCAGTCGTCTGCAGAGGGAATGTGCCGTCCGCCGTGAAACATCCAAATCATTGCCACAGCCATTTTGACTGACTTATAAAGATCAAGACAAATGCTGTCATATCGATTAACGAACATCTGCATCACTTACAATTTCTATCAAGAAGCATTCCAGGATTATAAGCTCATCATATGCCGTTTCGTTAAAAAAAAACTGTTTCCATATTGAACTTATATTTGCCGTCGCATGAGCGAATTACCTACTGAGTACAGGCTGAAACCGACTCTTTCCGCAGTCAGAAATCATGTGCAAGACTGAGAGCCTATTCAAATAAACCCCGGTCGCACTCGCATCCATAACACGCACCTCCTTGCGTGCGATTGATGCTATTGCAACTTAATGGATTTGAATAGGCTCTCGTGTGCGATTTCCTGACTGTGGAAATAGTCTGTCTCGGCCTGAAGTTCAGAATTTAACACAGGTTCAATGACAACTAAGGTGAAAGATGACACACAATGTATACAATGCATATTATTGCATAAACTGATAGATAGGTTTCGAGAAACGACGTGCCACATGCCTTAAACGGTGTCGTAGCACCAAGTTGGTTTCCAATTCACATCTCCCACCAGAGTATATCGGGAATAAATGCAAACACGATGCACACGAACGCATTATCCGCTCAATGGGTATGCCCGTAGGGCGTAGTGGGTATGTTAGTCACTTACAAACGCTGTGATACCTTAAACATTTTCGGTCGAGCCAGTTCACACCTCGTCCGCCTGCTGCCGTTACGTCACACGTGTCCGCAGTGGGCGTGCACCTGCGTGTGCGTGCATCATAATTCACATCACAAATCACAGGATGCCAATTCAAGTCAGCACACCGTGGAAACTGAATCCATCTCTTTGATCTGAAACAAAGAGTGAGAGAGGGAAATTAGATACCTGAGCATACCATAATGAAAGGGAGAGTGAGGGCATTCCAAGGCAAACTGTTTCCCCACAACATCACAAAAAAGTGTTTTACCTACATTGAGATGATGTTGGCAAAAAAAAAATAATACCTTGACAAGATAGGTACTACCAAACAAAAGTACCTAAAAGCTTAACACCTCATATGGTAGGCTTACATAGTTTAAAATGGCTTTGATCTTGCTTAAATCTATCTGATATCTACACACAGTTTGGCTAGCACTCGTTCTGAAAAAGTGATTGTTATATATCAGTCAATGGAGGGAAACTCACAAACTTCTTCGTACAACTCTGGACCTTTTGACTTTGAGAAAAGAAGGAAGCTGATGTCAGGGACCAGGGTCAGCACTCTTTTGTCATTTGTGGTTGACACTGGCTGCCATTAGGCTTTCTTTTTACTGTCAAATGGTTCAGTTTTTCATGCTGATAATATGATTTATTTAAATGTGTTTTTTTATTCAATATCATTCAACTATTTATGAAATCAAGGCATTGGCAAGCAGGTTATAAAAATTAGCTGAAATGACATGAAGCCAGTCAGCTGCTCCTGAAGTGTGTTGCACTCTAGTCAGCCGTTCAGAGAAATATGTAGGAAACTGATATGGGTGAGCAGTGAGTACTGAGCAGTGAGCAGTGGACCAATTTATAGGTATTGGCACTACACAATATAAAACAGAAACTACTTTCAAGAGTTGAACAAATATTGAGTTAAAAAATAATGGTACACTAACTGATTTTGCCAACCTAAAAACTTAACAAAAACTTAAGCAATTCACAACTAACAATGCATCATCCACCACCTATCATGCGCTGCCAAGACCGAAATTGCATCGCAAGCAAAACCATGGCTATATCAGCGGCATGTGAAAGCTTGAGATATGATGTGTCAAACATATAACAAACATATAAAAACATAAAATTAACATATAAATAAGTGATTAACCATTCCAATTACGGAAATTATACGATTTTTAACGACATACGGCGAGAAGCAATGTGCGCCAGTATCGTCAACAGCCGCTCTTTACAGTAATATTTTAGGCCACTCAGACCCTCCAACCACAAGAAAACCTTACCAACCTTACCTTGCCATCTTCCTCCATCTTCTGAAACCTTCCAATCTGCTCCAAAGGGGCTTAACTTTTCAAAAAACAAGGCAAACGATCCTACGACGCGACGCCGACCATTGTTTTGAATAGCACCCGCTCCCCCGCGTCCTTAGCGCTCGACACCACTGCCACCTAGCGGTGGTCACAAACATCGAGGAGTTGCCGATCCAGGTACTACTTCATCCATGGCAATACCTAATACTGCCTTTCCTTAACGACAACTCAATCAGAAGAGCGGCCGCGTAAGCGTAGCGTCAATAATGTATTATCTGCACCAGTTCTGTAATAATTTCGCAGGCTTCCAAAGTGGCGGCCATGCTTGTAGTGGTGGTTCGCTCCAGGGCTGGTAAAAAAGCAAATTGCGTCCCCGACCAAAAAATGAGAGCGAAAAATGACCCCGACCTTTTTACGATTTATGTATGCAGGCTGCATGCAACTACGATGCGCGTTTCCTTAGGTTTCATTTCTTTATTATTTTTACGAGCAGTCATATGTACTAAATTGCTTATCAGACTCGCGCTTCGAAATTTCCAGTTAGTTAATTAAATGTCACGGCATCACTCGGTCAGCGGCCGTAGCGTAACAGACGAAGAACCCGGAAAGGGTAGGGGGCGCTACGATCGTCGAACAGATGCAATAGGTGTCGCTATTGTATCGGTAGCTCACAACGACGACGGCTAGAAACTATCGACCCCGCATGAATTTACCGTGTCCAACCGGTCCGACCCCGGTTCCGAATCTAGTCGTTTGTCTAGTCGTATAGCTGGCTACAACTGGTCGTCAATCAACCCCGCTTGAAATAGCACAGCCGACAGCGGGGTCGGTGTCTAAGCGTCTGTTAGTATGTGTTTGATCATCTAGTTTGATCTAGTTTTCGTTAGCAACTGTCGACGGTAGTTTTGCTGTTAACGGAAGTGAGTTGTGGCTACTAATTGTTCATAACCATGTTGTAGGTATTAGGTATAGGGGCTTTTTATGTCCTTGTTAAAGGGGATATACGTTGTGGATTCAATGATATCTTTTACTTGCGTTTAGTTTCTGCTTTATTTGAAAGTTATTTATTACTGTAAAAGTTTACTAAGGCCGTTTTCACGACGGAATAGCAGGCATCTATTTAATCCCCATTTGATCCTTAAGTTCCTCAGGAATTTTAGTAGTTCTTTTTAGTAGGTTCCCCAGCTTTCGAATGAATGGTTCGTTAGTTTGCTATTTTTCTATTAAATATCACATCGATTTACTTTATCTAAGGATTTATCACTAATATCAACATAAAGCGTAAGCACAATTATACAATTATGAAATTATTAAATAC